GGTCCGCCAAATACTCTTTGATTACTATTTAATTAGGCCTCGCCCTCTCCCTCGCCTCGCCCGGCATGGGGTCCGCCGGGGCGCCGGGCCGTGGCGCGTCGCCCTAGAAGCGGAAGACGTGCTCTTTGTCTTCTTCCAAAGCCTGCGCTCGAGAGGACACGCACTCAGCTGTGTTCGACCGTACTCCGCTGTATTTCACTTACTCGCCCCCCCCCCCCCCCCCGTCCTTCACGCGGTGCTCTGAAGCCTCTCTGCACCACGCCGTCCTCCCGCCTCTCCATGGTGGTGTCTCCTCACGGTACTCCTCACGGTAGGCGCGACCCTCTCGGGGGACCGCCGCCGAGCGGTGCGCATGCACATGCCGCTGGCAAGGCAGTGGAGCTAGATAGAGAGGAAGGCGAGGAGCAGCCACAGGCTCGGACCGGACACGAGCGCGGTATGGGTGGACGCTAGACAGGAGATGACGGCACGCGCGAGCGACACGCAGACACACAGTGGAGCAGCCTGGACGCCTCGTGGAACGTCGCCAGCATCTCCCCGTATCTCCCGCTCTCTCTCGCCTTCCCCCCCTTAGGCAATGGCGCGACCTCTACGTCTCGTGGAACCTCGCCTTCACCACCGCTTACCCCGACCTCCCCACGCGCTACGGAGCGCCGCTGCTGGCGCCTCGCCCCTAGATGCCGGATGCTCTCCCGCCGTATCTCCCCGCATCTCCCCGCATCTCCCCGCATCTCCCCGCATCTCCCCGCATCTCCCCATCCCTCGCCCCTAGATGCGGGGCACACCGCCCACCACGCCTCTGCCTCTCTCGTCTCCCTGCCCCGCCACGCGCCCCCCCTCCCCCCCGCCTGGGCCGGACATATCTCGCCATATCTCGCCCATATCTCGCCCATGTCTCGCCCATGTCTCGCCTGGGCCGGACAGGCGCCGTGCGTGCTGGGCGCGCCTCCCGAGGAGTTCATGTTCCACCGCGTGCTGGCGCTGCACACGCACATGTGCCTAGAAGCGGAAGCACGTGCTCACGGTTTTGACCGGACACGTCCTCGACTGGAACCCGCCGCCTCCCGCTGCATCCTCTGCACCCGCACCCCTCGTAGTACTCGCGCGCTGCTTTGAAGACACGGCACGAGACCGCCCTCCCGCCCCGAGGCTTGGCGTATGCACAACCCAGGCACATGTGCCTCTACGTGCTTCGCCGCTCCAGCGAGCACGCGGCGCGGGCGGACGAGGCGCAGCCCACCGCCGCCGCCGCCGCCGCCGCGGTCGCCTCCTCCGAGGTACGCGCACGGCTCGCCGAGCGGCACACCACCGGACATGTCCAGGACACATCCACGACATGTCCGAGACATGTCCTTAGGTGGCGCAGCTCGCCTCGGACGAGCGAAGGCGCGTCGCCCTCTCCATTTCCTCCTCCTGCCTCTCCCCG